TAAGGCTAATGTTGCAAGACACATTTGCTACTAGGTAAAACATCAAATTAAAAATTAATGTTATATTACTGGGAATGTTATATTAATGGGAATGTTGTATTATTAGAAATATTATATTAATAGAAAGATAGATTACTTTGAAAGTTATTGAGAATATTTAGAGAAATGTGTTTGTTTGGTTAAAATAAATTGGCGGGTATATTATATTAATATGTTTGGTTGGGAGGAATAGATTTGTGGGTATGTTATTTAAATTACTGAATTACCCTTATATTAAATATTATTATTATATTATTATTTAATATTATTTTTTGAATAATTTTTTAACCCCCTACATTTCAAATTTAGCTAAAACACCCTAGCAACAAAAAAAGTTTAAAATTTAACAAACCCCCACCCACCCCAAGCCAGTGCCAACGGCCTACCACCATCACCGGTAGTGGCAACAGTGGAGATCTGGCTGTGAAACGCCAGATATGGCTATTTTTGGCCATGGATCTGGCCGAAAACAACCTTATTGGTGCACGGCCGGCCATAGGCTGTTTTCGGCCAGCCAGATATGGTCAATTCTGTGCCATTCTGTCGCCCACGACAACGGTCGCCAACGATTGTTTCCGACAGCTGGCAATGGTGGCCAAATCTAGCCACCACCCGTGGGCAATTTTTTTAAATTTCAGGGGTATTTGTGTCCTAAAAACTTTGTATATAAGGATAAAATAGTCATTTGGTATTTTTGTAAATTGTTTTTGAAACAAGGGCATTATTGTCTTAAAATTTTATTAATAAGAGATAAAATTATAACAAAAATAAGATTACCAAGTAATTTTAAAATACCTAAGAAAATAGAGTTATAATCAGATTACCTTATATATTACCAACAATAACTAATATTGGTATTGGAAGATTACCAAAACCTTATATTACTTGACAATCAAATGTGGTAATCAAGTAATATAAGGTGACATTATCTTAGTTAGGGGTGAGCGGTTCCAGATACCTTGCATTTTTTGGGGGAATCGGAACTGGAGCCGCACAGTGTAGGTTCCCAAAAAAAGGAATCGGAACCTGTCGATTCCAGTTCTTAAATTCAAGGAATCGAAACCTGAAATGCAAGTTTTGGTTCCTTACTCGGGTACCTTCTAAAAAATTAATTATCCTCTATTAGTTTAAAAATTGACAAAAATACCCTAAAAGTTTACAAATACACCTTTGACAAATTAAGAAAACCTATATTTAGTAGTTTTTAACTTTTGATTACTCATTCATTTGTGTCCAAAGTGACTCATAAATCCTCTAATCTCTAGGCAACACTTGAATTTAATCAATTCATCACAATTCACATAGAATTTCTCAATTAAAACCAAAACACAAACAGGTTCCGAGCGGGTTCCAAGTTGGGTACCCGCTTCAAGTTCTTTTCCCAGGTTCCAGTTTCAGTTTCGAAACTTGTAAGAATCGGAACCGGAACCGCACAGTGTCGGTTCCAATAAAATGGAACCAGAACCTACCAGCATAGTGTCAGTTCTAGGTAAGTTCTAGTTCTACCTGCTGCCCGCTCACCCCTAAGTCCTTAGTAATCCTATATAATCCCTAATCAAATGCACCCTAAGGTTTTTTCTTTTAGAAAAAAAATGAGCCAATTAATTGTTCAAAAGTATTGTTAGTAACGAATTAATGAACCCTGAAGAGCTGAGGAGGTGAGGCTAGTCAAACTGGGTGAGGGTTGCTTTGGCTTCCACTCTTTATCTAATTTCAGCATATTTCTAATTAAAAATCTAAAAAAAAAAATTAACTCATGAAGTAAAAAATTTAATTCGAAACTATCTGTTCTCTTTCCTCCTAGAATATAAAGTTTAACAAGATTTTAAGAGAATCATACGAGATATAGTTAGGATTTTATTATTATTATTATTATTATTATTTTGGCTCTTTTTTTATATTTTGGAATGAAAATATAATTATAATATACAACATTAAGATATATATATTATAGGGGTCATTTGGATCAGGTATATATAAGATAACGGGGGTAATCTTTGTTTATTTTGTAAGATTCCAGTGTTTGGTTTGCAAGTAATAAAATATTACAGTAATATTTTATTATAAATAGTGTTTACTGTTGGTAATGTAGGGGGTAATCTTATTACCTTGTTAGGGGGCGTTATTAAAACATTACTGGGGTAATCTGTTTTTTCTACCCATTTTTGCCCTTAATTAAAAACCATTTTAGACATAATCACCCTCAAATGTCTACCAAATAACAATTAGCGGAGCCCCCTACATTTGAGAAATTAGCTAAAACACCCTAGCCACAAAAAAGTTTAAAAGTTAACAAAATAACCCCAGCCACCCAAGACCACCGCCAGTTGTGACTCACCACCGCTGGCCGTCGGCATCAGTTGCCGTAATGGTGCACAATCGGCTAGATTTGGCCGATCGTGCATTGGTAAGGCCTTTTCCGGCCATAGATCTATGGCTAAAAATGGCCAGTTTTAGCGTTTCTATGGTCGTTTCGTGGCCAAAGATGTGGCTGTGAAATGGCCACAGATCTGGATGTGAAACGACCATAGATCTGGCTGTGAAATGGTCATAGATCTAGCCGAATTCTAGTCATAGATTTGTGATCAATGGCCATTTCTGGCTTTGTTGGCGCACGGTCGGCCATATACGGCCAGTCATACGTCATTCTGTTGACTGTTGGTGACAACCGATGGTGGTGGCTAGCTGTTGACAGTGGCTTGCGGTGAGTGTGGGTGATTTTGCTACAAATTAAAGTTTTATATGGCTGGGGTGTTTTAGCAAAATTTCAAATATGGGGGGTAATCAATTTTACCGAGTACCCGGAACTAGAACTGTTGTTATAGGTTCCGGTTTCAAATTTCAAGGAACCGTTAGTTCCGGTTTTGGTTCCTTCAAAAAATCCAGGGTACCTGGAACCGAACACCCTATTTTCCACATATATCATCTACTTCATTACAATAAGACATTTTTTTATTTTAGTTTTCATATACTATTTTTAAAAAATGATAATGAATGTATTTTCAAATTTTCAAAACACAAAATCAAACCTTTAAGTTTTGTTTTCAAATTCATATATGAAAATAAATGAACACCTAATGTTTTACTCAAAACAATAAATTAATGACAAAAATATACGAAATAATGATAACATATATAAATCATTTGAAACAAAATTTAAATTTAAACGAAATAATAATAATAAAGACATGAACTGGAAAATTAAAAAAAAAATTAACAATAATAATTTGAATTACAAATAATTTAAAACGGGATATTTTGACTTAAAATTGAGGGGCTTAAAGTCTCACCCAACCGACACAACTAATAAACTTAAAAAAAAAAAAAAAACACTCCTAAAACTTTTTACTAAATCACAATTCGCTTAATATAAGCTTATCGCTTAAATCTAAATTTTTTATTAAATGACCATTTGCTTAAGCGATCTAAGCTTATCGCTTAAATGATATAAGTTTATCTATAAGCTTATCTCTTAAGCGATATGTGTTAAATCGTTTAAACGATAAAGTTCATGACTATTTAATTTATTTTAAACTTTTACTAAATGACCATTCGCATAAACAATATAAGTTTATTGCTTAAGCGATATAGGTTTATTTATAAACTTATTTTTTAAGCGATATGTGTTAAATCGTTTAAGCGATAAAGTTCATGATTATTTAATTTATTCCAAACTTGAGATGATGTTTTAATAGTCAACCCCATATCCTTATAACTTTCTACAACGTTGACTTAGTTTTATCTTTACAATTTCCTTTTACTTTGTATGTTTTCTAGTGATCATGCTCATCATGGAGTTGTTAGGGTTTCTATTTTGAAACTCTTCAAGTACTTTTCATACATGTAGGTGTAGCTAGAAGATGATTATTTGGTTTATTTTAGGACAACTCTTATATACTTATCTATCTTGAAGAACCATTTGAGTATTCATGTTCTCTTTTTTGTTTGAATAATAAATATTTACTAAATAATTGTTAATTAATTATTATTGATAAAAAAATACAAATTAAAATATTATATTTCCTAAAAATTTCAATTGCCTCCAATACCTCAACTAAATTGTTTGATCAATTCTTTTACTAATGTTTTAAACATCACATATTGATTTTGATAACTAGAACATAAACTTAGCTCTCAAACTTATATAATCGTTATCTCATGAAAAACTTTGCTTCACTTGAATATTGTCAAAATGGGTATAGCACCAGATTTGTGAATCATTTATTATCTTTAATATATCAAACTTTTCTTAAATTACTTAGGGTCCATTCGATATGGTTCCTTCGAGTAAAGTTTATGAAAGCAAAGCTTATTAGAGAACAAGAGTAGAGCTTTTATAAAATTTTTGTTGATTGTTTGATTAGGAAAATGTAAAATTTTTATTAATTTACCAGAAAACATTTTAATATACAAGATAAAATTAAGTCAAATTTTTAAAATAGAATATAGATAGTTTTTGAATTTTAACACTTTAAATAAACTAAAAAGAGCTTATAAGATTTAATAGGATTGTGGTTATTATTTTTTAAGTTTTTGTTTTTTTAATGTCAATTATTTTTTTTTACCATTTTTTTGAAATAGACAAAAGAAAGAGAATCACACATGTTTTTCTGTTTTTGTTTACAAATATTATTTTTAGAAAATGTACATGAATGTACGTATTTTCAAATTTTTAGAACAGAAAATAATACTTCTAATTATTGTTTTTTAATAAGTATAATAGGTGAAGTAAACCTAATATTATATTCAAAACAATAATTAAGATAAAATAAACAAAATAATGACACTATTTAATATTTATAAACGAAATGAAAATAGAGAGATATTTTTGAAACAAAATTAAACTTTTGAAACTAAGAACAAACGTATGAGGACTTAAATGATATTATACTCAAACTCAAATCCTCTCTACTCAACCCTCAAATGAACGGTCAAGATCCATCCAAAATTAGACACTGAATTACAGCCGTTGCCACCACACTACAAGAGAAAACCCTAGTTTTCCAATCAGTGTCTCTGGTTTATGTAACACACTTAACACAGTCGTTTTCTGGCACCTTGATCTCAGACGCCGATCAGCCGATAAGCCCCATATCTCCAATTGCAATAAGGTTTGTTTTTGTTTTAATATGTTCAATTTGTCTGGTTATGATTGTTTCTTGAAATATAGTGATTGTCTTGTGTTTTTGTGAGTTTGAAAAGATTAGATAGAAATAATGCGTCTTTGAATTTAATACGAGAAAAGAAGAAACAGCTTCATCAATTGAAGCTGTAATTGTGTTTATGGGGTTAAAAAGAGACGCTAATTTGTTATCGAGAAAAGAAGAAAAAGCATTATCATTTGAGGTTATAGTTACGTTTATGAGATTGGCAATTTTTCATTTGTGCGTTTTTTTTTTATTTATTCGTATTTTTTTAATTTAAAATAATTTTAAAGTTGCATATGACGGGCAAAGATGTTATAGTGAAGATGGAAGTGATGATTTTTTCCCCAGATGATCGACGATGATTATAATGTGCGATTGTTCTCTTTTCGAGAATCCAAGCCAGTGTTCTGATCCATTTTCGTATTTAGTTTTTTTATATTTGAGATATTGGATATTTTGATTTGATATTATGTGAATGTTTTTCCTTTGTCTATGTTCTATGTTTATATGCCTAGGTTTGTATTTATTTTACTTTAGGTATCTAGAGCTTATTTTGAAATTTTTTTATTATCATTGCAGAGATGGGTGAAGAAGCCAAAGTAGTGATCCCGGAGTCAGTATTGAAGAAGCAGAAGAGGAACGAGGAATGGGCTCTTGCAAAGAAGCTGGAGCTTGAAGTTACAAAGAAGAAGAATGCTGAGAACAGGAAGCTCATATTCAGTCGGGCCAAGCTTTATGCAAAGGAGTATGAAGAGCAGGTTCTTATTGCATTCTTTCTCAGTATTATTTGTTTGATTTCTCCATTATGATTTTTTTAGTGACTGAGATCGTTTGATTATACAGGAAAAGGAGCTAATTCAATTGAAGCATGAAGCGAAGTTGAAAGGAGGCTTCTATGTTGACCCTGAAGCTAAGCTTCTCTTTATTGTTCGCATTCGTGGGTACGTTTTGTTGTTTTTGGATTGTTTTATGTTGCTTCTTATGTCTATTTCGATTTTGGACTTTTATGTGTTGCTTGTAATGTCTAATATGTATGCTTTTGGAACATTTAGTATCAATGCCATGCATCCAAAGACAAGGAAGATCTTGCAGCTGTTGCGTTTGAGACAGGTAGCTTACCGAAGTCTTACTCTAAATAGTAAGAGAAAAAGAGAATTTGGATTTTGAAGTATGGTGCTTGTTTAAAATGAATAGTCATTTTTAATTGTAAAGATTTCTTGTTAGTTTAATTGAATTAATATTCCTGCACATGCAACTTTATTAGGATTATATAGTAATTGAAATTGAATGGATGAAAATACTTTGGCAAACAGTTGTATCCAAAGTATACAGTATGATGCTAATTCATTTATTTTGCAATGAGTTTTATTTCTAACAGTGTGCCGGAAGCTATAGTTGATTTATTTGGTGATTTAGATGCTGGTTTACCATGTTGTTGAAGTCATTAAGTAGGATATGCTTGTTTGACCAAAAATTGAGCACACATAACTTTTTATACGTATTGTAATTAAATATCTTCTTTGCCTAATACAGATATTCAATGGAGTGTTTCTTAAAGTTAATAAAGCAACAGTGAACATGCTTCACAGGGTTGAACCTTTCGTAACTTACGGGTATGTCACTCTTATATCTTTCATGATTTTATTTATTTATTTTTTTCAAACTTAATTGTCTTCCACGTCTGATGTGTTGGTGCTCCTTGTTTTCAGATATCCAAATTTGAAGAGTGTTAGGGAATTGATTTATAAGAGGGGATATGGTAAGCTGAACAAGCAGAGAATTGCATTGACTGATAACTCAATCGTTGAGCAGGTTTGTGCATTTTTTGTCGCTTGTGTTATTCTTTGTGCTTGTATGTCAAGTGTTTTTCAAAGACAAATTTGTGATGTTGTGTTATTAACATTTCATGATTTGTCAGGCTCTGGGCAAGTATGGAATTATCTGCATGGAAGACCTGATCCATGAGATTATCACAGTTGGACCTCACTTTAAGGAGGCTAACAACTTCCTATGGCCATTTAAGCTGAAGGCACCTTTGGGTGGTTTGAAGAAGAAGAGGAACCACTATGTTGAAGGAGGTGATGCTGGTAACAGGGAGAATTTCATCAATGAGCTCCTCAGAAGAATGAATTAGGTTTGCACGATTAACCGTAGATTCTCCCATTAAAGAACTTATTTCATTTTTGATATAGGACTTCAATTTCAAAAACCTGGTTGCTTTTTAGAATTTTATAATGTATTTTTAAATGGTAATATTTGTAATTGCAGTTTAGTTTTTGGTAGTGTTCAAGTTTTATGATTATCCATTTTTTTGATGGGTTGGTTTTATGATGATCCACCAGCTTTTGAAAATATGAGTTGCTATCCAACTTCTATAGCTTTCTATGCAAATCAGTCCCATATGCAGTGCCAATTCCTGAATAGATTTTTCGTTTTGACAAAATTTCTTGATGGGTTTTGGACGTTTAATTATATTAACGTGAATATTTTCAACATGTTCTATCCAGGATTAGATTAGATGTTGAGAATCACATGTTTATTTTTCAAATACTAAAGTATTGTTTCTTGCTTTACTATTTGAAAAACAATAATACTATATTTACAAAGAAATCTTACAAAGAATTTCATATAAAGTGAGATGACAAAAAATGAATGAAAGAGTGAAACAAAAAGTCAAATTCATTAAATTCTTCTTCTATTCATTTTTTGTCACATCATTTTGTATGAAAAGTTTTGTAAAATTTCTTTGTAAGTATAGTATTACTTTTCACATAAAAATATTTTGAACAAAATTATAGGAGCAGAATTTAAAAGTTTAAATTGGGCTTGACACGGTAGGGAAATAACTTGGGTAAGTTTAGAAGAATAAGAGTTAGGGTTATTGGTTGGGAGTTTAAGTTGCTTAATGCTTATATATATATAGGGGTGTTATCTTTCCTTTTTATCATTACATCGAAATTAATATAATTTCCTTTTGTCATTATCGTTCTATTATTGTTTAATTCCAATTTAATTGGTTTCATCACTAGAACTTGTTTAATCTTTCTCTCAAGAGTGTTTTTACATTTATTGAATAATTTGGAGACCTGAAACAATAATAAGCATCAAGGAGAGAGAATAGATGAAAGAGAAGAAAGTGAGTAAATAATTGATTATATAATGATGTTCCTAAGATGGTCATTTCTTAATTAAAGTGTATGCTTTTAATCTAACCTTTAGAAATCTGTGTAAAAAATCATATAAAATAAAGAAAACGACTTCTTTCCAACCAAAAAAAAAAAAACTTAATGACATTTCCCACCCCTAATTCCAACCAAACCCACCCCTCACCCCCCCCAAAAAAAGACATTCCCCACCCTTAGACTTTGAAAATACCACTTTAGTATCCAAAACACGATTTTATTAGTAATTTTTGTTGTGGTGAAGGGCAAGATGGTCAAAAGTTGTTATAGGTGAGGGTAGAATAGTCAACAAATATTTTGGCCATTGGAGAAGAAGAAAGAAAAGGACAACACACATTAGCCAAAGATGGTGCATGTTAGTAGTGTCGTAGCCAATGGTTTTGTCATCTTTCGGCTGATCCTGGCATCCAAAATTACTTCCAAGATCACCCACAAAATCTCGATCACCTCCTTTACAAAGCCCAAGCCTTCATTTGCTGTCATCACTCACCATTTCCCACCACCACCTCCATTCGCATAGCCAACTCTTCAAGTCAGATTTTCGGTTGATTTTTTTGCCAAAAATTCCCTCAGACACCACCATCACACTTCGCAAAACCTACTCTACAAAACCCTTACCTCCATCATTGTCCCTTTCTTGTCAATCGTCGGTCATGCACTGTGCGACATTTCAATTTCTAGGCCGATTTCCGGTGTTGGAATCCATCCTGAAACCACCACCAGAATCCCCATCCTCTCCTCTCCAAAACCTCCGATAGCCTTGATCCCATTTGCTCGCCGATCGTCGTCGTCCTCTTCCTAGGGTTCTGGTTGCATGATGAACTTGGGGTGTGCTTTCTGATTGATTCCATCATCGGAAATCGTCCTTGTCATTGCCAATCGACTCCTTGGATCTTCCTCTCCAAAAGCCCCAGCATTCCTGATCATGTTTGCTCACCAATCGTTGGTGATTAAGGCTTCCCCACCCTAGGGTTTTTTGAGTTTTGATTAGAGAAAGAGAGAAGGGCATTTTCTTCTTCACAATGAAAATCATGTATTTCCCACCTAGACTAAAGAGAAACATAATAATTGGGTAGTAAAGGGGTTATTTTAAAAGTTGAGCCTCGAGGGTGGGAAAATGTCTTAAGCTTTTTTTGAGTGGGAAAAAGTAGTTAACTCTAAAATAAAGGGGTATTATGAGCACCAAAATAGAATGTCTAAACTCTAAATGCCTAGTAAAGAAAAAAAAATAAAAAAAATACAAAAGACCAACAATGTTTTAGAACTCAGTGTGTAGATAGTTTTTCTAACTAGTTTGATATCATTCTTGACAAAGAAGAGATTATCTAAGATAATACTAGAAATGGTGATTTTCATCTCAAACTGCAAAAGATCCAAATGTCACCTTAATCTATTTTCTACGATTCCAATTCTTCGTTGGACGACTAGATTGTCTTATAACAATCCGGTGTTTAGACGCTTTGGAATATGTTGGTTTCTAGTAGCACTATCACTCTCTCAATTTTTTCTTTCTTACTATTTATTTATTACTTTTATACTAATTTATTTTTTGAATTATAAATATTTTTCAAATAAAGGGTATTATCCATTTAGTGACATTTAAAAAAAAAAAAAAAATCGTAACTAGCCACATTACATTTTTTTACCTTACCCCAAATAAGTCTTACAATAATCGTGTATAGGCAAATGCTTCCTTGTGTATGCATGTCAGTAGTCACAAGCTTTTATACCCCCATATTCTAAAAATGCATATACCCCTAAATATTAATACACCCTTGTAATTTATAAAAAATTACAAATATACCCAAATATCCGTCAGTTCCACCCGGACACCCGGACCTCGGGAACCAGATCCGAACCTATGTAGGACGATTTTACCAAATTAGGAATCGGAACCGACCTTGTGTTGGCCAATTTTGATTCCTACCTGGAACGGCAAGTGGGTACCCATGGTTTCGGGTCTACCCGTTAGCCATGCTCATCCCTAGTCATGTGTCGTAAGAGTATGGTTTATATTTATTCCTTATAGAAATCTACATATATGAAATAATGTAAGTGTTTCATTTAGAGAGAGTTATACTAAAAAGCTCTTATTTATTCTTTTAAAATTAGATTAGGTGATATAAAGCAACATAGAAGGGAATAACATAGATACCCACGTGTTCATGTTTCCTTTTTCGTATTTTTATTCTTTTTTTTTTTTTTCACATAAATGCGAACCGTTTACGTTTACATTTTCTTTTCTGAAACAAAAAAAACTCGTCAAATGTATTTTTAGAAAAGACAAAATGCCATCTTCTATCTATAAAAATTTCTATTTCTTAAACATAACTTACATGAAATTGAAGATTTATCTCTACACATGATTTTTTTTTTATTGGATTTAACCATATTTTCTATTGCTTTAGTACATACATTAATATCCTTTTTTTTTTTTTTTTTTAACTAACCAAGATATCTGGGCTAATCCCAACTAATCTTAGAAAGTTATCCCACGTTACCCATGTCATGAACTATGCAATGTTGTCAAACTGATTTCTAATAATATTTTAATAAATTTTGAAATATCATTTTAAACAAACATATATTGTTTGAGTTTTCTTTTTACAATTTTAAATTAATGTTTAAACATACCGAACAAACTTTTCATTCTATGAAATCATTCATTTTTAACATTTTTAATAAACACAAAATGAATTCATAAATTAAGACATTTTTTTACTTAATAACTAGATAAAAAAGATCTCGTTCATTATCTTTTTCGTTTTATTCTCCCCTTTTTTTTTTTGGAAAATGTTAACACTGTTTATTTACCATTTTTTATAATAATTAAAAAAATTCACATATAAAACTTAATAGTTATTTATATTTCATTATTTCTTTAGTACAACAATTCATATTCATTAAAAAAAAAAAAAAAAAAAAACAAATATGTTTCGCTGTTTTCATTTACAATTTATTTTCAAAAATGTTTATAAATGTATTTTCAATTTTTAGAACCCAAAGTTGATATACTTTAATTTTCGTTTTCCAATTGTTTTTGATTAAAAAAAAAAAATCATGTATAATAGGTGAAGTATACCAATATTTTATTCAAAAATAATTAAATAAAAATAAGGACAATTTAAAACGAAGTTAAACTTATGAACCTTTAAATAGAGTTACATTGACCCTGAGGTATGATAAAGTGAAAAAATTCCTGAGGTTTTTGAAATAAAAACATCCTCTATAATTAGGAAACGCTATAAAACTCTTCAAATCAACCATGATATGGGTGAGTATATATCACCAAATCGCTTTTCTCTGTTTATTAACACTTGAAACTTAATGGTAGAGGATTTCTGAATTTCTAAAATTTAGGGGAAGTTTGTATTTTATAATACCTAAGGGATTAAAGAAAAAAAACAAAAGTATGAGGACTTAAATGATATTAATCCCAGATTATCGACGATGATTTAAATGTGCCATTTTTCTCCTTTCGGATCCAGCCAGTGTTATGATCCATCTATATTTTTTATTCGGTATGTTTTCAACTTAGGAGTTCGGGATTAATTATTCTTCTTTATGCGTGTTTGTCATTAATTGATCTTTTTTATGGGTGTTTGTCATTAAGGAGTATTTATCTGAGTTTATGAAAATTAGTTTAAGCAACAAGACTTATAAGCTAATTTTGCTTATAAATTGAAATTTTAAGCAATTAGTGTTTGGTTAAAGTACTTATAAATATATGATAAGTAATTGACGTGTTTGGAAAATGTGGCTTATAAGTACATTTTATTATAAAATAATTAAAAAAGATACTATATTAAATATGTTTAAATGAATTTTAAAATTAAACAAGGATAAGTGGTAATATACTTGGTCAAACTAACTTATAAGAGAGTGGTGATAAGCAAAAAAAAAAAAAGTAACCCCCCCCAACTTATTTTTTTTTTTGTTTATAAGCTAACTATAAGCTCAAAAAAGTTATAAACAAACATGTCAGCTTAATTTTTTGAGCTTATAAGCAAGTTTGACAATCTTATAAGCTTAGACAAATACCCCTAATTTTGATGAGTACGATGTTGTGAGTCCTTTATAATTGTTTCTAAGAGTCTCCTTTTTAAGACGTTAAGAAATTGGAAAAAAAGACTCATTTTTATGAGATACAGGATATTTGATTATTTTCTTATATGAATGTATTTCCCTATCTATGTTTATACGCCTTTGGTTTTTGTTTTACTTAAGGGATTGATATTATCTGAAATAAAACAAAAGTATGAGGACTTAAATGATATTATACTCGAATCAAACACTCCCACTAAACGCTCAAATGAATGGTAAAGATCCTTCCAATCTCACAGATGCATCGCAAACGTTGCCACCACACAAACCCTAGTTTTGCCATTCCTGTGTCTCCTCTTATTATATATATAACTCTTATTTATACATATAACTCTATTTATATACTCTTATAACAGAGGCTTTTCTCGGGTTTCGTTGACACCTTAGCTCAAAACAAAACAATCGGTAAGATCCCCAGTTGCAACACTCATCTAATGTCAATGTCATATTTTACTTGAAATATACATTAAAATATATATTCCTAACAATTTCAATTGCCTCCAATACCTCAACTAAATTGTTTGATAAATTCTTTTACTAATGTTTTAAACATACAATATTGATTTTGATAACTAGAACATAAACTTGGCTCTCGAATTATATAACATTATGTCATGAAAACTTGCTTCACCTGAATATTGTGAAAATGGGTATAGCATGCCATTTTGAAGTATAAATTTTATGATATTGTTTATCTTTATATACTAAACTTTTTTAAACTAGTAAAGGTCATTATCCTTTTGTTTTTTTTTTTTTTAACACTTTAATAAATTAAAAAATATGTATGAGATTTATAAGTTTATGGTCATCATCTTTTGTGTTTTTAATGTCAATTCTAGTTTTTTTACCCTTTTGAAATAGAAAAAAAAAAAAAAAAAAAAAACACACACAAAATTTAAACAATTGCAAAACGCAATATGCACAATTGTTATTTTATGTTTTCATTCTCTACTTCAATACATATTCTACTATTTATATAAAAAAAAATTAACAAATATTTTTTTTCTATTTTTTGTTTATAAATATTATTTAAAAAAAAGTTTATGAATGTAATTTCAAAATTTGAGAACACAAAATAATACATTAATTTTTGTTTTCCAATTCATTTTGATTAAAAAAAATCAAGTATAATAGGTGAAGTAAACCATATTTTATTCAAAACAATAATTAAGACAAAATAAACAAAATAATGACACTATTTATAAACGAAATGAAAATACGGAGATATTTGAAACAAAATTAAACTTCCGAACCTTAAAAATAAAAAGTATGAGGACTTAAATGATATTATACTCAAAATCAAACCCTCTTATTCAGCCCTCAAAGAACGGTCAAGATCCATCCAAATTCAGACACTGAATTGCAACCGTTGCCACCACTCTAGTAGAAAACCCTAGTTTTTCATTCAGAGTGTCTCTGTTGATATACACTTTTAATACAGTAGTCTTTTTCGTGTTTTCTAGTTTGTTTAGCACCCTGATTTCAGACGCCGATCAGCCGGTAAGCCCATACGTCCAATTGCAATAGTCGTTTGTTTCGTTTTGATATGTTTAGTTTATCCGGGAATGATTGTTTTTGTGTTTCAATGAGTTTGAAAAGATTAGATAGAAATAATGCGTTAGTCTTGAATTTTTTATCGAGAAAGGAAGAAAAAATCTCATCAATTGAAGCTGTAATTGGTGTTATGTGGTTAAAAAGAGAGACTCATTTTTATCGAAGAAAGAAGAAAAAGCATTATCATTTGAAGTTAAGTTACGTTTCTGAGATTGGCTTTTTCATTTCTGCATTTCTTTATTTATTCGTATGTTTCTAATATAAAAAATTTTAAAGTTACATATGATGGGCAAAGATATTATAGTGAAGATGGAAGTGATGATTTTTTCCCCAGATGATCGACGATGATTTAATGTGCGATTGTTCTTTTAGAGAATCCAAGCCAGTGTTCTGATCCATTTTCGTATTTAGTTTTTGATATTTGAGATATTGGATATTTTGATTTGATATTATGTGAATGTTTTTCCCTGTCTATGTTCTATGTTTATTTGCTAGGGTTATTATTTACTTTAGGTATGAGAGCTTATTTGAATTTTTTATATCATTTCAGAGATGGGTGAAGAAGCCAAAGTAGTGATCCCAGAGTCAGTATTGAAGAAGCAGAGAGGAATGAGGAGTGGGCCCTTGCGAAGAAGCAGGAGCTTGAAGCTAATAAGAAGAGAATGCTGAGAGCAGGAAGCTCATCTTCAGTCGAGCCAAGCTTTATGCAAAGGAGTATGCAGAGCAGGTTCTTATTGCATTCTTTCTCACTATTATTTGTTGTTTATTTATCATTATGATTTTTTTAGTGACAGAGATTCGATTGATTATACAGGAAAAGGAGCTAATTCAATTGAAGCTGAAGCAAGTTGAAAGGAGGCTCTATGTTGACCCTGAAGCTAAGCTTCTCTTTATTGTTCGCATTCGTGGGTACGTTTTGTTGTTTTGGATTGTTTTATGTTGCTTCTTATGTCTAATATTGATTTGGACTCTTATGTGTTGCTTATATATCTAATATGTATGCTTTTGGAACATTCAGTATCAATGCCATGCATCCGAAGACAAGAAAGATCTTGCAGCTGTTGCGCGTTGAGACAGGTAGCTTACCGAAGTCTTACTCTAAATAATAAGAGGAAAAGAGAATTTGAATTTTGAAGTATGGTGCTTGTTTTAAGATGAATAGCATTTTTAATTGTAAAGATTTCTCGTTAGTTTTAATTGAATTAATATTTCTGCACATGCAACTTTATTAGGATTATATAGTAATTGAAATTGAATGGATGAGATTACTTTGGCAAACAGTTGTATCCAAAGTATAAGTATGATGCTAATTCATTTATTTTGCAATGAGTTTATTTTTGACAGTGTGTCGGAAGCTGTATGATTTTTTGGGGATTTAGGTTGGGTTGCCATGTTGTTGAAGTCATTCAGTAGGATATACTTGTTTGACCATAAAATTGAGCACACATAACTTTTTATTAATGTATTGTAATGAAATATTTCTTTGCTTAATACAGATCTTCAATGGAGTCTTTCTTAAAGTGAACAAAGCCACAGTGAACATGCTCACAGGGTTGAACCTTTTGTAACTTACGGGTATGTCACTCTTATATCTTTCATGATTTATTTTTATTTATTTTTTTAACTTAATTGTCTTCCATGTCTGATGTTGTTGTGTCCTTTGTTTTAGATATCCCAATTTGAAAGTGTTAGGGAATTGATTTACAAGGGGGTTATGGTAAGCTGAACAAGCAGAGAATTGCATTGAATGATAACTCAATTGTTGAGCAGGTTTGTGCATTTTTTTTTTTTGCTTGTGTATTCTTTGTGCTTTTATGTCAAGTGTCTTCAGTGACAAATTTTTTGACGTGTTAGTAACATTTCATGATTGTCAGATTAGGCAAGTATGGAATTATCTGCATGGAAGACCTGATCCATGAGATCATCACAGTTGGACCTCACTTTAAGGAGGCTAACAACTTCCTATGGCCATTTAAGTTGAAGGCACCTTTGGGTGGTTTGAAGAAGAAGAGGAACCACTATGTTGAAGGAGGCGATGCCGGTAACAGGGAGAATTTCATCAATGAGCTCCTCAGAAGAATGAATTAGATTGACACGATTAACTGTAGAATCTCCCATTAAAGAATTTATTTCAATTTTTGATATAGGACTCCAATTTCAAAAACCTTTTTGCTTTTTAGAATTTTATATTGTATTTTTAAATGGTAAGTAATATTCGTAATTGCAGTTTAGTTTTTGGTAGTGTTCAAGTTTTATGGTGATCTAATTTCATGTGAATTACCATTTTTGAATGGTTCACCAGCTATCCAACTTCTATAGCTTTGTATGCAAATCAATCTCTCATATGCAGTGCCAAATCCTGAATAAATTGTTCATTTTGACAAAATTTCTTGATGGGTTTTGCACGTTTAATTAATAATTATATTAACGTGAATAGTGGAAGTGTTTGAAACCAAAATTTTCACCATGTTCTAGGCAGGATTAGATTAGATGTTGGGAATCACGTGTATTTTTCAAATACTAAAGTATTGTTTCTTGCTTTACTGTTTAAAAATTAGTCGCAAGAACTTCCCCTAAGCCCTTTCAATTTCCAGTGAGCCTTTTAAAGTGAAGTTATAAAAAGTGGTTGAAGGGGTTAATAATTTTTTCTTGTAAATTTATAGGGTGAACGACAGGTTCCCACCCAAGGTTTGGCCTAGCACAGTTCTCAGCCGAAAAGTTTCAGAATGACAATTTCACACCCATCCATCCAATTTCTCCGTTATTTTTAACCGCAGAAGGATAGAACAGTAATTTCAAAAACAATTGAAGGATAATCATATCATTTTATCGCCTATATGTATATGT